TTATTTCTAGCAGGGAACAAAATGTCTCTGTAGGAATCATAGAGTTGAAAGAGACCACAAGAACCATCCAGTCCAACTCTCCTACCATGTAGCTTGTGGTGGCACCAGAGCTCTCTAACAGAGAAGGCTCAATATCTCACAAGACTACAAATCCCAGCATCCAGCCATGACAAGTGGTGTCAAACTGCTTTAATTCTGTAGTGTAGATGCACCTTGATTATCTTCTTTATTCTGGTGGAAGGGAAGCCAGAATCCTCAAATGTCAAAAGCTAAACCCATTTTCAGAAATTGGCTAAGGGCACAATATAGCAATGCCTATGTACACTTGGGCTCTGTTAATAAGAAAGTGTTTGTGAGAGAGAGAGAAAGAGCAAGAGCAAGAGAAATTGAGAGAGATTTAAACTGACTGAAATCCCTGGTCTTGCTCACTACGTGAGACAAATGTGGTAACCAACAAATGCCTGCCTCTAATTTGGACACGACAAACCGTATTGAAAATTAAGATAAAAGAGGCAACCAAAAGTTGCGTTCATTAGAACTCGGGATGGAAGAAGGCAGTTTTCTCCAGAGCCCTCTTGTTCAAGTCATAGCATTATTCATTTTCCTTTGGAGAGGTTTCAGCCTGCATCAAAAATCTCCCCATGCCTGAACAGAAAGGAAGAAATTGTGCTTGTGTAGCTCCGTGGGTCCAACCCAGACCAACATCTGGGTCATCTTTTACAGTTCCTGTACTAACAGTCCAAGGGAGGACAAAATCTGCCGCATAAGTTAATTGTAATAAATGTAGGACCTTCATCATACATGGAGAAGTGACAGTGGAGATGAATCAAGGCCGGTGGATGAAGTCACTGCTCCAAGGGAGCCTTCATCCAGTTTTCCATTTGTAAAACAGGCAGCCAAAGCAGAGGGTTGGGAGTCATCTTGTCACCTCCGTTGAGAAACAAGAATATGTTTCTCATATCAGAATGATTGATGGGTTTGGTCTGCCAGTGGCCAAAATTAGAATGGGAGGTAATTAAGCTTGCTTCAAAGTTGATAAGGAAGGGGATGAAAGAGCCTCAGACCACCTTTCCAGCTCATTATCCTCCAAGCTGGGAGGTTAGTTGGTGCATCTAAAAGGATCTTCTTGTCTCCTTCTTCCCCTTTTCTTCCAGCCCTAAGAGGCTTTCACAGACTTACTTTGGCAGAGCCTGGCAAAGGGACTGAATGGCAGGAGAAAGACAAGTCTGAGCTTGTTCAGCTGGAGAGATTTTGTGGGTCAGGAAGTTGTTAGTCATTCCAAAAAGCCCAAACCAGACTGGGGCCACTTTGGTAATATATCTTTCTGGGCTTTGTTATATTATCTTTCTGGGTCAGAAAGCTCAGCTTACCAAAGCTGGTGGGCAATGTGTGCCTGGTTGGAAAGTTGTTAAATACTTAGAGAGGGAAATTTCTAGGAAGGATCAACCACTTTGGTCCTGAACACAAAGGCAGATACTTCTAGGGTATTCCTATTCTTGCTAATTCTTAGCTCCCAGCTAGCTATTGATTGATTGATTGATCGATCGATCGATCGTCTCTTGACCCTCCAGGGCCTTCTTCAAGACAATGCACAATGGGTAAATAAACCCACACGTTTAAAACATTAAAGAAATAACTAAAACAGCACAGTCTTTACTGGGTATTCAGAAGGGACAGAGGGAGCCTGCTCGTTCTGGGTTGAATGAGTTGTACAGCAAACTGAGTCCAAAGTGCAAAAGGGATTTAAAATCAATTCACTTAGCAAGGGGAGAGAAGAAGAGGGGGAAAATCTTGTCCTTCCCATTGGGCTCAGACAAAAGAAAACTGCTGCAGCCTCTCCTAGCTTGTGTGTGTCCTTCCTCACATTTATCCTTATGTTCAGGTGCTGATGTTGCTTAACCACACTTGTCATCCTAGTTTTCATTTATGAAATGTTGGGGAGTGTGCCATCCACATAGATCACTTTGTACACACGTTTCAAGTAGAAATCCTGTCTTGGCTAATTGCAGGGTGCCAGAATAGTGTCCTGGTCTTGGCAGCTCCTTAATTCTCTTGTTTATGGAAGTAGGGAAAGAGAAGAAAGAGGGATGGCTTTTGTTAGAATCGGGGGCTGTGTCTACATGTGCCTAAACAAACCAGGGTCATAGGCAACACACAGAAAGTTTTAAATGCCAGCTTACAATTCTGGTTTGTCAAGATATATGACTCTGGAGATCAGGGTTTGATTCCCAGATCAGCCATAAAACCCATGGGATGATCTTAGGCAAGTCGCATGCTCTCAGTCTCAGGGGAAGGCCATGGCAAACCTCCTCTGAATAAATCTTTCCAAGAAAACCCCATGATAGGTTTGCCTTAGGGTCTCCACAAGTTGGAAACAACTTGAAGGCACACAATAAATCAACCACACTGGTTTTGATATAATGCAAAACCTCTATCTATCCCATTTAACATGAAAGAAGGAGTGAACTAGTGAGATCCACTGACATTGTTCACTAAGCAAGGTTCCCTGGCTTAGTGTTACATGAGAACGTAACCAATGTGTTGAGCCTTGCCTCTAATTCCTTTTCTTGAGGACCTAGACCAGTGGTTTCCAAACTTTGGTCTTATGTTTTTAACTTCAGTTTCCAGTGTTCCAGGACCAAAGTTTGGGAATCACTGATCTAAAGGATAACAATTTGGGATTTTCTGGTTTAGCAAAGATGTTGCCTTCAGAGCTTACAAGATCCTGTTGAGAGGTAGTGCGCCATAATGCCACAGATGTTCACAAGACAACTATGGTATCCAGATGAGTGGCACTGTGCCTTTCACCATTTTGGGAGTGCCAACGGCTACTGTATAACCCATGGGGAACTTGCGTAAGGAGGTCTCAAAATATCTTTTGCAAATCCAACCACTTCTATAACTGGCTAACTACACAAGTCTGTAGTCACCAACAGGATTCCAGCCTATATCTCCAGCACAACGCTTCCAGCACCACCACACAGACCTCAGCATCACTCTCCCCCAACTTGCATACAGCAAGGTCCCTACCTAAAATAACCTCCTAAAGAGGAAACAGTAATAACACTCAGAACCTGCTGCACCCAAAAAAATAGAGCTTATAGTTAAAAAAAATGAGAACTACCCTGTGGAAAACCTGATTCAATGGATTATTTAGGCATATAGTTTCAACCTCATCCAAGAATCTCCTCCCTCTCTTTCACTTCCTAGGATACAAATATACATGTGACTGGTAGGTGGCCTGGAAACAACTATGCTTATCCCAGTGGGAGGAGAAGGGGGAAAAATAAGAGACATAACAAACAACATAATGCACTGTACTTTCAGGAAGGAATGGCATAGCTATAATAGGCGAGTGCGGTTTGTTCTGCAACAGATTGTTCAATGCATGCTCTACGACTGAGATCTCCTCCTCCGCAGCCTTATAGTGGACTAGCCGTTTCCAACTTATGAAGACCTTATCAAGGGGTTTCCTGGGGCTGTGAGGGTGTGACTTGTCTAGGGTTACCCAGTGAGTTTCTATACCCTAACACAGAATGAAACCTCGATCTCCAGGGTCCTAATCCTAGGCTCAAACCACTATATGACGCTGGCTGCAACAGTTTATATGAAAGATCCTGTGGACATCTCTGCAACCATTCAGGATTGCTGTTTGATTGATTCTTCCAAACAATGTTATTGAGTCTCATCAGAGGACGCTTTCCCTGAGCTGGGTTTATTGATTTTTATCTTCTGTTCCACCTCCTGCTTCCTTAAGCTTTTGGGAGCATCTTCAGTTTGCCCTGTGTGCCATCTGGAGTGGCTCCCTGCCTGCAAATTCATCCAGACCCTGTTGTTTTTTGCTGTATGGAACACACACTTGCATTGGTAAATCCTCCCTCCCAGCCTAGGACCCATGACATCATTGTGAATTTGCAAAGGAGAAAGAAAGGAAAGGGAGGGGAAGATGCTAGACTCAACCTCACCAGCTGGAGGCTTATTAAGGACAATTTTTTTTATCAGACTTAATGGAGCATAGTTTGTTTGTTTTTCAATGGGCAGATTAGATTGTGGAATGGCAGCACCCAGGTTTATCAGCTGTCCCAAAGGATGGCCAAGGGTCATGAGTCAATTCTAATCCAGGGCAGGGTTTCACTTTGGCTCAACAAGAGGCACTTTGTTCCTTAAGTATTTCTAGAGAGGGATACTGTGATGGCAGCAGCTTTCTTCTTACATGAGCAACCTCAGTTTAGGATTTGAAATCCTAAGGACAGAAGGCTCAAGCTTCCTGATGCATAACAACACATTTTATTTGTACGGTTTATTTGCTCAAGTGGTTAAGACGCCGACTCTGTTGATTGCAAGACTGGCAGGTTGGTAGTTCAAGACCCAGGTGCGGCATGATGGGGTAAGCTCCCATCACTAATCCCAGCTTCCACCAACCTTGCAGTTAGAAAGCATGCACATGCAAATAGATAAATAGGTACCACTTTGCTGGGAAGGTAACATCATTTTGTGCAATCATACTGGCCACATGATCACAGAGTAGTATCTGACAATGCTGGCTCTTCAGCTTAGTAATGGAGATTAGCACTGTCCTCTATGGTCGGACACGACTTGACAACCTTGTCAACAGGGAATACCTTTACCTATCCAGTGATTCCCAAACTTTGGTGCTCTAGGTATTTTGGACTTCAGTTCCCAGAAGCATGAGCTTGGACAACAGTCAGCGATTTTAGAGTCTGAAGTGCAAAATACATAGAGGACCAAAGTTTGGGAACCACTGAGTTATGTGATTTGCCACCTGGTACAGCTCAACCCAGAAGCTATGATGATAAGGCCAACAAAAAAGGACTCTTGTTGTTCTTGTTGTGTGCCTTTAAGTTGTTTCTGACTTATGACAACCCTAAGGCCACCCTATCATAGGGTTTTCTTGGCAAGTTTCTTCAGAGGGGGTTTGCCATTGCCTTCCTCTGAGTTTGAGAGAGTGTGACTTGCCCGAGGTCACCCAGTGGGTTACATAGCCAAGCTGGGAATTGAACCCTGTTCTCTAGAGTCGTAGTCCAACAATCAAACCACTGCACTATGATGGCTCTAAAAGGGATTTAAGTCCAGCTTTCTTCATAACATCCTATGTTTCTAAGGAAGCTGATTATTCAAACAAATAGAAGAGGAACAATTCAGCTACCTGTAGTCTGTATTGACCAACAGTACAGTCCATTTCTGGACCACCCAAATAATGCTGCTTGACACTGCCATGGCTCCATGCTATGGGATTCTGGGATTTGCAGTTTCATAAGTTTTTTAGCCTTCTCTATCAGTGCTCTCTGGGGCCATGACAAACTGCAAATCCCAGAATCCCATCACATGGAGCCAAGACAGTTAAAGCAGTGTCAAACTGCATCATTATTTCTGCAGCTTAAGAGAGAGAACAAGGCTTAGATGTCATGGAGAAGGGTTCTTGCACACAGCCTTCCTCTTTTATGATCAGCTATTTCTCTATGTACTGGAGCTCTTCTGTGTAAGGAGGAGCAATGTAGATCCCCTTGTCTACATCTCTTGTTTTCCATAAATGTCTCTGCATGTAGCACCAATAGATGTGGAGGGGGTCTTTCTCATCTTCACTCTTTTGCCTCCTCTAGAGCTTCTCGCCTGTCCGCCAGAGTAGCACCAGTGCCAGAAAACATTTTTCCAAGGCTAATATTAGTTCCAGATGCTGGTTAGCCATTTTCAGTTTGTGCCTCACCCTGTAAAACACACACACATACACTTTCTCCCTTCTTTCAAATGCAGAGCCTGCTCTGAGGAGAATGACATCATCTGCTGCCTTGCTATGGCCTCACATGCAATCCATTCACACACAGCAGGGCAAGCACACACCGAAGCTCAGGATGCATTCTTCCAGCTGTCATTCAACATCTCTAGAGGCAAGCAAGACTGTTCTTAAGATCTTCCCCTGCTCGTGGTTACCAAAAAGGATATGTCTCTCATCCTCCCCCCCCCTCCGCCATCTCCCTGAAGGAGAATAATGACTATTGTGTGGGGGACCTACATAAAATGTTGCAGTGCACCCTAAGATTGCAAATATTGCAATACAGTCTTTTTCACCCCCAGCTTTCCAGGTAGTCTCAATACAGTAGAGTCCATATTCTCTAAAATTTAACAATGAAAACCAGGACATGTGGGGCCAAGGAGTGATCAAAAGTTGTCAATGAGGAAGAATACATAAGTTAGGAGAGGCCACAGCAGTTTTATAACCCTTGTTTGAGTTTTGACTCTACTTCATAGGGTTTATTTAAAATAAGCCCTTTTTATTCACTGGATTTTGGTTCCAGGACCCACTGTGGATACCAAAATCCATGGATGTTCAAGTCCCATTAAATACAGTGCATAGCAATATGGTGTCTCATATAAAATGACAACATCAAGGTTTGTTTTTTGGAATGTATACATTTTTAAATATTTTCAAGCCATAGATGCTTGAGGGCTAACTGTATCATGAACTTCTGTAAACCATGGTGTTCTCTCAAAGCTAGATAAAACTTCCCTCTGACATGTGGATGCTACTCTTTGGAATACATAAGTATCTATACTCAGGAAATAAGTTTCCTATTAGGGTGTGTTCATGTGTTCACATATCTTGACTTCAGACTTATGTTCTCCAGCCAGCAACATTCACCAACCAGGTGAAGATTGAAAACTTCCAGATCCAACCCACTGTTACCCAACCCAGCTCCACATGTCACATATGCATCACTCTCCATTCCTCAAGACTACTCCTCCCCATGTCTTAGGAGGTTTTGATGAAGCAACACAGAAGAAAGGTCTTCCAAACATGAATTTTGGGAGTGAGCACCACAAGGCAGGGTAGAAAACACCTCTCATCCTTTCCCTCCCATTTGAAAAGAAGACCTGGCTGAAAATGCAGCATCTTTGACAGTGACAAGGACAACCCAAGTGTTACATGAATTTGAAAACAACAATTCATGTAATGTTCTCAAGGCTTGGGATGTGCTGCCCTCTAGATGTCTTTAAGAGAACCTGCTACAACAGAGATAGAGGCTGTAGACAAATTATTTACACCCTCCCTATAGAAGCATCCCACGTGTTGTCCATTAGCACCTGTGAAAAGCTTGCTCCAAAGCCACATCTGTTTTGCTAAAAATATTAGAGACTGGAACACTGGACCTTATTGGGCAGCACAAGTCTGGAATATTCACCAGAGCCCACAGATGCTGAAGTGATAAGATAAACTACAGAACCACCATGTTGGCTTGAGCCAATGACCCATCTTGCCCTTTGACCCTGAAGGGATGCTTAAACATCCAAGGATAACTCAAGTAGGACTCAATCTGTTCTGCCATTTTGTGTAACAGACACACTCAGCTGATAAAATGGAATGGTGGTCCAGTTTCACTATGCTGTAGTCAATGCCTCCCCAACACTGAGTTGGTGGGACCAACAGTGGTTACTTGAAGTTCTCTGCATGTATCCAAAAGCACCCAGGTTTCCTTTCATCTTGTTACAGGCAGATCCAACTCACCTGTGTAGAGATCAGTGTCTGTGTATTCGTCCACCTTCTTATGATGGAGGATGTAGTCGGAGACTTTTGTTCCGATGGCTGGCTGGACATCTTGCCATTCCAAGGAGACAACGGTACTAGACGGTTCAACGTTCGGGGAGAGTCGCAACCTGGATTGAACGACAAAAAAAAGCAAGTCAGATGCTTTTAAACTCAGCTTGTAATCTTCTGTACTTTAGGAAACAGGATCATGTTCCTACACAAACAGACTCATCCTCAGACATTCTTATGCACAGTTCCTCATACAAAAACACAAATAAGCACATGGTGGGAGGGAGTCTATCCTAGCATCCTTCGAGTAGAGAAATGTATGCACCGATCACTCCAATATGTTACAGAGAAATCAGCTATATATAATGTATAAATATATATATATATATACTTACACAGGTTGGGGAAGAGGACTGCAGCTGGGAAGCCCATTCTCATCGAAGGCATTTAGGTCACATCGGCACCAGTCCTCAATCACATCTCCTTTCCCTGAGCACCAGTATGAGCTCATGAGGGCCCCCTTGAAAGCCTGCAAAAAGTAAAGGTACAGATGGTTTGGAAGAAATAATGAAACAGATCAAGTGCTCCATGTTGTATTGGGAGCTGTACACACCAATGGGGACACACATACACACCCTGGCAAGTGGATCTTTGCATGGACATAGTTGACATAGTTGATGATAGTCATAGTTGACTAGTATAGTTGACTATACTGTGGGGCCTTGGTATCTCCTGGGGTTTGCTTCCACTGTGGATACTAAAATCCAGGGATGCTCAAATCCCATTAAACACAATGGCATAGTAAAATGGTGTCCATTATATAAAATGGCAACATCAAGGTTTGATTTTGGGGGTTTACACACATACATACAGAAGGACGTTTACTCATCAGTGATAAAGTTAGGCCAAGCTTACCTAGCCTTGGCTTGCTAGCTTTCTATATGCAAGGATTTTATTCCTTTGCTTGTCATGTCATCTCTATAGCCAGAGCATGGAGTGATAAAACCCAGAGGAAGGTTCAGCTCTTTGGAGAAAACTAAAAGACTTTGTTAGAGCCAGTTAGTTTTCATGACACAACATTGCCACACAAGACCACTTAAGTAGAAAGCAAGCCTCACTGAACTCAAGAGGACATGCTTCCCAATAAATATCCCAATGATAAGCCTATGCACCTTAAAAAAATGTCTGAGTGGGTCCAGGTGGATCTAAAGCAGTTGTTATTGTTAACTGCAGCCAAGTCCACTTCAACTTATGGTGACCCTATGAATAAGAAACCTCCAAGTTACCTTATCATCAACAGCCCTGCTCAAGTCTTGCAATCTCAGAGCCAAGGCTTCCTTGATAAAGTTTATCCACCTTTAATGGGGTCTTCATCTTTTCCTACTGCCTTCAACCTTGCTAAGCAGAATTGTCTTTGCTAGTGAGCCCTGTCTTATATGTCCAAAGTACAACAGTCTTAGCTTAGTTAACTTGGCTTTGAGGGAGATTTCAGGATTGATTTGCTCTTGGGCACATTTAGTGGTCCTTTTGGTAGTTCATGGTATCCCCAGAACTCTCCTCCATTTACAACAGAGCATCACATTTGAAATGAGTTGATTTTCTTCCCAGCAGCCTTCTTCATTGTTCAACTATCACAGTCATACATAGAGATGGGAAATACAATGGCATGGGCAATCCTGACTTTAGTATGTGAAGAGATCTTGTTGCACCTTTGAGACTAAAAAGAAAGAAGTTGTCAGCATGAACTTTTGTAGACTAAAGTCTCCTTCCTCAGATGCATTTGAAAGTAAACTTAACTCTAAAAAAACTCATGCTGCCAAATTCTTTCTTTCAGTTAGTCTCAAAGGTGCTACAAGATCTCTTTGCTTACTGATTTTACAGACTAACACGGATATATTTTTGAGTCCTAACTTTGGTATTCAATGACATATTTTTACACTTGTGAAACCTCTCTAGTTCCTTCCTAGTTGCCCTTCCAAGTCCTAATTTTCTTCTGATGTCTTGACTGCAGTCCCCATTTTGATGAATGTCAGACAGTAGGGTTTTTTTTTTGTTTTTTTTAAAAAAAGGGAAAGAGGTTTCTTTTAAGCTAGCTTTAAAAGGAAAGGACATAAACCCAAACCAGTGCAACACTCCCAACTGTTTTGGGGTTTTGTCAGCTTCCCCAAACACACAGATGCCTTGAACAGGGTACCCTGAGTCACTCCCATCTGCCATTTCTGCCTTCCAGACGCTTGGGAAATGCGCCCATTTGGGCCAAAAACAAAACAGAGGAAGAGAAGGAACAGAAGCTAAAGAGATATAATCTGATTTCATTTGTGAGATTGAGATCATAACCAAAAGGTCAGAAGTGGGATGGGTCGGGAGGCAATTTAGAAATTAAATAATCATCAATCTTAGGCAGACGGTTGGTAAAGAAAACTGTTATGTGGGCAGAAAAGAAGAAATAGAGGGAGATCAGAAAATAAGGCTGGCCATTCAGTGGGGCAAAATGGCATAGGGGCTTGCTACATTTTGAGCA